CTCTCTCTCTCTCTCTCTCTCTCTCTCTCTCTCTCTCTCTCACACACACACACACACACACATGCACATGCACACGTGACACCAGGAGCTCCACTGTTTATAACATCCTAGAAGCCACCATTTCTTCCATGTGCTCCAAAAGAGCCGTCTATGGGAATGACACCCACAGCAAACACTCTGACCCTCCTTGTGAAGATACCGTGGCCAAACTCCAAACAAAACATTCCTACCCCAAGAAATTTGTGGCCACCCTAATCAGATCCTTGATAACGATCTCGTGATTCTCGTCCAAGCAGAGGACAAAGTGGGATGCTATAACTAGTCTGCTCAACGAGGCTTGAGGCAGTGCAGTGGGTCGATAAGGTGTGCATTCAGGAGGCACACCTTAGTACGAACAATATATACGTGGTTGGTTGTTTATTTATTTACACATTGCCTAATTCTTTGTCCTGCTTCAGAGCATGGGCTGTCTTTTTGGTGATGGAATGCCTGCCAGATCTTCATTGCCGAGGCCTCTCCTCCATCTCTTCAGTCTCTATTGCGCGGGTGGGGTGGGGTGTGGATGTTAGGCCATATAAAAAAAAAAAAAAAACCTGCAGACTCCACAGGCGGCGGCGTGCACAAAATGGAGCTGCGTTTCTGAACGGCACACACACACATTTGTGCCGTTCGAACGCCGCCGCCCTCTACAGCATCCGCCGTTTGGATGTGCTGCACGCGCGCGCCACAGAGAGAGAGAGAGAGAGAGAGAGAGAGAGAAGAGAGAGAGCCATAGCAGAGAGAGAGAGAGAGAGAGAGAGAGAGAGAGAGAGAGAGAGAGAGAGAGAGAGAGAGAGAGAGAGAGAGAGACATAGCGTTCAAACTCGTTGAGCGCCGTTCACAACAATTGAATCCGCGCCCAGGGCGTTATTCGGCGTCGCGTGGTGTGCCTCCAGGGCCCTCCAGTGACGCTGCTTTGGGGGTCACGATTGGGGCCCTTCAGCAACAGTGGTTTGGGGTGGGGTTTTGGGCCTACCGAGGGAGCTATTTGTGGCGGTTCATCGGCCATGTGGAGAAGCCAGGTGCGCCTGTTCGAGGAGGCCTACGCCTTAACACAGCGGAAGGCCCAAATGATGTGCGTCGTCTACAAGTACATTCACGTCAGACGGGACCTCGCAACTGCGGGGTGAGGATGTTTAGGTGTGTCTACTGCGGCCATGAATTTCAGGGCACACATTATGTCGCGGCAAGGCACTTCATGCAGGGGTCCACGGGTGACAGATGGGGCACTCGTCGACTTCCACTAAAACAGCACCTACAAGATGTGGAGAGCAAGCAGCTGGAGCGGATAGACCAATACGAGGAACTCCATGGCGGTGCACCACCTATGGATGTGGGTGATGCAGCAGGAGGGGAGGGCGCGTTGGGTGCCGGTGGTGAGGAAGTGGCAGGGCATGGGGTGGATGATGTGGTCGATGTCGACGACGTCGCAGCACAGGAGCACGTGCAAGCACCGTACACGCAGTGGCCTGGGAAGGCTGTTGTGGGTGAGAGTTCAGGGAAGAGGAAGGAGAGAGACGCAGAAGGGAGTGCAGGGGCGCGGAAGAGGATGAGACAGCCTGCCTTAAAGGATGTGTACGCCTCGCAGTGGCTGGTGGAGCACAGGAAGAGATTTCTGCGATTTGTGTACAGCCAGCAGTTACCCTTCAACATCTTTCGCAGCGACGCATCGAAGGAGTACAAGAGACACTTTGCTGACTTGCCCGGGCCTTTGAAGGTCTTATGGTCTTCCGAGAATGAGATCGCGGCGATTAAGACAGTGCGTCAGTCTACGGATGGCGTTGCTACTGATCTGAAGGATGTCAGGGAGCCATTTTACGTAAGAGGGGTTACGATCCTTTCAGACGGCAGTCTTGAGATCACCGGCCCGTCATCAACTTCCTTGCTGCGGCATCATGAGGCGTGCTGATGATCAGGACAAGAACAGGGAGGGTTCTCGTGATGACGGCCCTAGCCGCCCTACTGTCCTGGAGTGACGGCTGGACGTTTTTAGGCGGTTTGACCTGAAAGGTGTCAACGCCATCTGCACGGACTTGGCGGTGGCGTATAGCTCTGCTGCGAACGCGTTGGCTCATCCTCAGATGAAGCCACAGTTCAGACGCATCATGTGGATCCCATGCGCAGTGCATGTCTGCAACAAGTTGTTGTCAGACATAGGCACAACGAGTGAGGAGGTCAGGAGGACTAACTGCGAGAGAGAGCGGCTGTGTGCTTTATCAAAGTGCACGGTGCCGCTCTCCATCTTTTCATGAAGGAGAGATTACACATGGGACCCCTTTGCCCGTGTGAGACAGTTTTCGCATCGATGTTCGCGATGTTGGAGCGTCTGCTTGCCGTCAGGCAGGCCTTAGAGAGGACAGTCGCTACGGCAGGGTGGAGTATGGTGCCTTGGGACACACAGATTGACCAGCTCGCCAGATGGGTCAGGTGGCGGGTTAGACATAGCATGTGGTGGGACTCTATCGGCACCTTCTGTAGCGTCATGGACCCCGTTTATGATCTCCCGCACAGGTTGGATCGCGGTGGTATGCATATGTCACGCGTCGTGCAGTGGATGCAACAGGTGCAGATTGATATGGAGAGAGCTCCGCGTACTGCTGAGTGCCACAACGCAGCTCACCTTCAGGAAGGTGCAGGAGCGGTGCCAGATGATGACGGAGCCAGCGCACACCGCCGCTTATCTTTTGTGGCCCAGCTGTCGTGACATGAGGTACTTCAGTGTGGTGGTCGATTCATACCGCGGCAGGTTAGTGATGGAGACAGAGACTTACATCCTCTTGGAGACCGGTTACAACGTCGCCAACGATTTTTACTCGCGGGCATGCAAGCAGTTTTGAGATTTCCGTGTGCGCAACGGAGTGATTGACCGGGGTGGTGTGGACAGGGACCGATATGCACGGAAGTGCGTCGGTGATGTTGAGACCATTAAACCACCAGTTCCCCTGATGTCAGAAACGTCGGGGGTACCGGTAGTCCCCCTGACGTCAGAAACGTCGGGGGTACTGGTAGTATACAGTGGAAAACCGGTCGGGCCTGAAAAATGGATTTGCGAAAATGCACCAAATCGGCGCGGCGAATATTTGACGGTGAAAATTATTTTATTTTATTTTTTCTGATATTTTTCCCTGAAAGATCACGACCCTATCTACGGACCCTCAAATTTGCAGATCTTTTGATGAATTCTTCTGAGCACAAAAAATCGGCAAAGTTGCTGCTTGAAAATGGCGGGGAACACGAACGAGCGCCAAAACCCTCCGAACGCGAACATAAAAAATAAAAAACAATAAGACTCAAAAAATTCTGTAAAAAATATGCGTCATGTAAAATAATAATACAAACAACTTTTGCCTGGGAGGTAGGAAAACAAAACAAATATAGAATCTGAGAATGGTCTGAGAATAGAATGTGTTAGAAGTAAAGGTTACAGCATGGTTTAAAGATTCCTCATTTGTGTAGATTTGTAAACTTCTCATTTGGTGGGATTCTGCGACTCCTGATATGGGCTTGGCCGGTGATGCCTCGCTCAAAGACTGCAACTTTTTAAGTGTGCTTTATTCCGCAGGTGATGATCTAACCCGGCCGGCGTACCCATATGCCGGATAAACCGTTTACAGTCTGAAAAAGAAAAAATGGCGGGATTGGACCCACTGGTGATGAACGGTCGCCGCCCCTCCGTACATCCCGGCCCTAACTCACAGGGACTGGGGTTTTCGGCGGCAGGGGAAGTGGTGGTTTAAGCTGTGTAGCACACCGAACATGTTCGAAGGTTTTCGTTCGGAGCAATTCCTCTCATGTTAGGTTTTTTTATTTTTAACTTGAGTTTGGTTACGAATTTGTTTACCTGAATGTCACATTTTTAATACAGTCCGGGAAACGGGGCCGGCGTCCCTCACGTATGAACAATCGACTTCCAATTAGAGCGAGGCATCACTGGCCAAGCCCATATCAGGAGTCGCAGAATCCCACCAAATGAGAAGTTTACAAATCTACACAAATGAGGAATCTTTAAACCATGCTGTAACCTTTACTTCTAACACATTCTATTCTCAGACCATTCTCAGATTCTATATTTGTTTTGTTTTTCGACCTCCCAGGCAAAAGTTTTGTATTATTATTTTACATGACGTATATTTTTTTCAGAATTTCTTGAGTCTTATTGTTTTTTATTTTTTATGTTTGCGTTCGGAGGGTTTTGGCGCTCGTTCGTGTTTGGTCGCGAACGTTCGGGTTCGGTCACCGAACCCGAACACGATGCTACACAGCCATTAAGTCTGCACATTGGTGGTCCAAGTTCGGACATTGCGCACCTTAGCTACAACCCATCGCTCTTTATGTGATGCGTATGTGGACGTGCTCCTCTCCTGCAGAGAGGAATTGGGCCTTCCACGAGAGTGTCCGTACGAAGAAGCGAGACAGGTTGGGTTTCGAGAAGGTCGCGAAGTTGGTGGAGATATCGGCCAATACGCGCCTTCTTGCACACCATCACGCAGGCCACGGGTTCACTCTCCCTTGGACGCACGATGAGTCGTTATTGGATATGGAGGCGGGGATTGGGACAGAGCCTTTGTGGGAGGGGACAAATGAGGGGAGGACATAGGAGGAGCGTGAGGAGCAGCGTCGTCGCTGGCAGAGAGATCCGTGTAGCTCGAAGGAGCCTGTGCCTGTCCAGATTGTTTTCGACACACGAGCGACCACCCTGCACCACTACCCGAGGGATGACACGGACGACGAGGACTTTGGTTGTGGCACTGGTCTCGATGATGTCGATGTGGCCGTTGCGGACAGTGGCGGGGACAGTGACCGGAGCGACCGTGGAGATATTAATAGATGGAGCGGTGATAGACGTATTCGGGGACGAGGAGGGAGTGGAGGAGTTATGTGACCAGTATGGTGACACGAAGGATGTTCTTCATTTCGTGACGGATATGGCGAGAAAGTCCGGTGTTGGGCAGGGGATATCGTCCGACCGTACCACTTTTGTCGTTGTTGCGGCTTGTACCACAGGAGGACTGCGACGATGCATGGGTCGTTGACCCGCCCCAGGATGCCTGCTCGACGTATGGATTTGGACGGGCCACCGTCAGGTGGTATGGAGGGTGGTGGAGTTCGCAGTGGCACAAAGGCTGTTCGTGCGGAGGGGATCTGGGCAGCCTTGGGTGTGGGCATCGCTGGCAAGTCACCATGCCCTTTCAGCGATCTAGGGTCTCTTGGGACACCTAGCGTCTCTGGCGAGAGTCTGTTTCGAGGGGGGACATCTGCCATGGGCTGTATCTTGGGGCAAATTGGTGAGGTTTTGCCGGGTTGCTTCACACCTGGCATGCGCCATGAGCTTGGTTTGTCCCCTTTACGAGGCAGGGATGGCGAAGTGGAGGAAGTGGAGGCCGGCCATGAGACGACACCCCCGAGGGACGGGCCACCGTCAGGTGGTATGGAGGGTGGTGGAGTTCGTGGTGGCACAAAGGCTGTTCGTGCGGAGGGGATCAGGGCAGCCTTGGGTGTGGGCATCGCTGGTGAGTCACCATGCCCTTTCAACGATCTAGGGTCTCTTGGGGCGCCTCCTAGCGTCTCTAGCGAGAGTCTGTTTCGAGGGGGACATTTGCAGCCATGGGCGATATATCCTGGGGCAAATTGGCGAGGTTTTGTCGGGTTGCTTCACACCTGGCATGCGCCACGAGCTTGGTTTGTCCCCTTCACGAGGCAGGGATAGCAAAGTGGAGGGAGTGGAGGCCGGCCACGATACGACACCCCCGAGGGTGACGACCTCACAAAGGGAGGGAGACGACCTCACAAAGGGAGGATAAGCTTGATAGCATGCGTGCGCAACTCCTTGCCCATGAATATCATTTCACGCAAGAGATGGCACGTAGGGCACATGAGGAGCGCGATCTTCATATAGGCGCGTATATGAGTGAGGAGTCACTCACACCTCGACCGATCACGCACAGACAGAGGTCGACGGACCAGCATGCGAACACGCCGCGATTAGCGGTCCATCAGCATCAGCCGCTGTTCAAGGTAGTGAGGACGGTGCGTTACCTACGGGGGATGGTGTGCGGAGTACAGATGCCCCGATGTCTCATGGGCTGGAGGACATACTGACGGGCCGATCGCCGGCTGTGGTAGACAGAGAGGCCGAGGCAAGAATCGTACAGCCTGAGGGGGCTGGCATTGTACATAGATATGGACCAGAGGGCATGACGGTATAGGACAGGGGTGAGGCGCATGTCGTTGTTGACATCAGAGTGCCACGCATTGACGCCACCTCAGTTGTTGGACCGGTGCATGAAGAGATCATTGTCGAAGCTCCCGCAGTAGCTCGAGACGCTGGTCAGGGGGCGGGTCATGCGACATCACCGGAGATCGAGGCTAATATCCGACCTCCCATTGTCTCCAACTTTGTTGTGCCTAATGTTCAGTCGTGCCACTCGAAGATGCAGAGTCAGGGGGTCCACGCACATAGCAGAGATCTGAGACGTCAGCCGGCGGATGACATCCCATCTATGGCCAGACAAATCGGGAGAGGCATACCTCAGCCGCCTCTTCCACCACCTGTCTCGACCGTAGAGATTACTCAACGGAGGTATATGCCACAACCGCGGGGATCCATGGTGTGTGGAGCTTACCAGACGAGTTGGCGAGTTGTTTCCAGAGGGACCCCACGGAGATAGACTCGCGCATATCGCCGACCGTTGCTTCAGTGTCGTGGGGCCCCACCAGTCCAACGCCACCGTCAAGCGCTTATGTACTAGTGTCTCACGGAGGGATTGTTATCTCGCAGTCCCCTGCTAGTGTCACCGCACATCGTCGCAGCGGGACTGGCACTCCGACATCGAGCCACCCTAGCGCACAGACAACAGATGTCTTCTATGACACGACACTTTGGGCGTACTACAAATCGCTCTTGGAGCTCATGCAGGCGGGTTACGGCGGCGTCCACTTGTCGATAGCCATGCTTGCCATGACAGGCTAGACAACGACCGTCACCATCCCTTGCCGATGTTGCGGCGTCAGGGTTTGAGAGACAGGTCGGCCTCGTGAATGAGGACGAGCCACCGGTGCCTAGATACGGTTTGGGACAGGCGTCGCAGGTTTTTGGGGAGCGTGCATCGAGAGCACATGGCCACGGAGGTCGAGTGCCAGCGAGAGAGGGGCGTACAGAGGGAAACACCTCCGGGGCGGAGGACCTGGTGATGCGGTCGGGCACCCGTTGCACCTTGGACCTCACTACTGCATCGCATTATGTCGTCAGGAAGGGTGGACGGGGATTATGCATGACGACGTCACTGACTCAGCGGCCCCACAGCGTAGTTAACGCCAGTGCCAGGCAGGGGCCACTAAGGCATCACTAACGAGCATTCCAACACAGCCCCAGGATGGGGAGGAGAGCAAGGACGATGGGGACGACGACAGCAACAAAGTCAGTCACAATGCCGACCCTGACGCCAGCAAGGGCGACGAAAGGGCGATGAGGGCCGCGGCAACGAGGGCGAGGAGGAGCGTGATGGCAATGGTGGAGACGAGAGCGATGACGACGGGGGAGACGAAAGCGATGACGACGGCGGGGAGACAAGAGCGACGATGACAGCGACAGCGCTCACCCCGCCGCGGAGAGCTAGGACGTTTGGGATATTTCTTTGTGTTGCATGTTGGACATTATGGTTTGCTGTGTATGTTATTTCCTTGTTAATTTTTCTATTTCCTCTGCGTGATTTTTTGGCCGCCTTCGGTTGAGAGGTCATTGCTCTGATACCTCAACATGGACTATATCGGGCTCCATTGTTGTATTGTACCACTGTGGTGTCGTGTACGTTACTCAGAGTCACATTGAGGTGCAGTAGACAGAGACTTTTTTATTGTTTTTGTTATCAGTGCGGTGGCGCAGGGACAGACTTGTGTGTGTGTGTGTGTTTATTTGTTTTCCTTGTTTGTGGAGTTCATAATCACATGCATGACATTATCCTATTATTATTATCAGTGGCGATGAGATGCCAGTGACTCTGTCATTGTGATGATGCATATGTTTATGTGCCACAGTCTCCGGGGCCTACCCCCTTCAAACCCTTCACATCGGTGCGAATAAAACTGGAAAACAAAATAACATGGTAATATATATATATATATATATATGAGTCGGTGAAACTCCGACGAAACAGTTTGCCACACCCCCTCGTTTGTTGTCCTCTTCTCTCTCTCTGCCTACGGTTTACCGGGCAGTTCTGTTTGTGACGATATATACATATGACGATATATATATATATAAATAAAACCGTACCTCCCTTTTTCTCTTATGTTTTCGACATCCGTATAGTTGGTAGTAAGTAGCTCTTTCCTCTCTTTCCTCATTTGTTGGTAGTAAGTAGCTCTTTCCTCTCTTTCCTCATTTGTGGAGTACGATCTCTTGCATCTTCACTGTTGCTTAATTTCCTTTGCTTCCTCATCTGTGGAGTATTATCTCGTGCATCTGCATTCTTGCTTCATTTCCTCTTCAAGAAGACACGGACATTTGTGGAGTTTCTCAACGCTGCATCGGCTGCAGCCTGTTAATTGTAAAATGGCAATTCATTGAACCCCCCACCCACCCACCCCCTAATACCCCCTCACCCCCAAATACCCCCTGGCCACGTGGCACGTTAAACGCATTTGAGCGCACGCGCAGGGGTATTGAAAGCGCAGGTATGTACGCAAACGCGCGTACTTAGCGTTCATGCGGTAACACAGGAAGCAATTGTTTTTTTCGCTGTTTTTTTTTATTTATTGAATCAGGTCCTGCAGTGCTCCACACACCAAACGTCCCACAATGCTCCACACACCAAACCCGAACCACCCTTTCAGCTCGGCATGCACACCGGGCCACGAGCATAGGAGAGTCAAGTGTCCTCCGACTTTTTACGACATCCATGTGTCCTTTTTAATTTTTTTTGGATCGGAAATTCCACCAAGCCCTGTGTTTTCCAGTTTAATCCACCAGTACTTGGAGGGTTCCTATTGCCAAAGCAGCTTCCTCCCTGTGTGGCGTGAAAAACGAAGCGGCACAGGGTGTTTTTTTCGCTGGCGTAGCCAGCCATTTCCCTCCGGTAGGCCAAGCCCTGAAAGTCGCGGTGTGTGAGAGGCATCGTCCCAGAACAATGACGGGGAAAATATTAAAATAACTGTGCACCGGGGTGCTGTTTCGCTGGACGTCCAGCCAGCCAAAACGGGCCTTGCATGCGACACGTTTTACCTGGATGGATTTGGTGCGAAACAGCGCCTGGCACTTCCCGAGAGTCGCAGCAGCGTGCACACCATGACTCTGAAAGAATGGCTGGGAAAGGTACTGGTGGTTTGACTGGCTTTTTTTTTTTTTTTTTTTTTTTTTAAAAAACCCCCCCCCTGCCCCCAGTATTAGTGGTGCTGATAAGAGCAGACACCGCTACCACCTGGGGGAGAGGCTCCATCTATTTTGGTGGGGAGCATCACCTGCTGGAAAGCGGGTCCAGCGTCCCTTATACAGACTGAATTTGGGATACATCAGAAAAGATTGTGGAGTGTTCCTGCCAGCATGGATTACCCTGGGATCCAGGGGATTGACTGACCAGGATATTGGAGGGAAGGGGGAACCTCTTCACCCTGAATCCGGCGCCAAGATACACAGCTACACGCTAGTTCCTCCCTCCCCCTGAGCCATACTGAAATCTTTTTTCTTTTCTTTTTTTTTTCTTTTTTTTTTTTTATAGAGAAAATGGGCCCAGTGCCCAAGGCTGATATTACCAATAACAGGATTGAGGCCGGGGTCCTCACAGTCTACCCGGAGTGACCGAACCAAACATGCTGACAGTCTACCCGGAGTGACCGAACCAAACATGCTGAGAACTAGGCTCAGCGTCCCTCATATGAAGATGATTATGATGATGATGATGATGATGATGATGATGAAGATGATGGTGGTGAACTTCTGCTGATTCTATGTAAACTGTGAGATAATGATACTAATGACGACGATGATGATGATGATGATGATGATGATGATTAGTATGTAAAAAATATAGAAGACTATGCTATATCAGCAATTCTGGCCTCCTAATCCAAGAACAACTCCTAGCCCTCAAAATATAGAAGACTATGCTACATCAGCAATTATGGCCACCTAATCCAAGAACAACTCCTAGCCCTCCCTGTACCAGGACATTACATCTTAGAGACAATGCCATCCTAACCAACGTCAACCATAGCTGACCTGTTCTCGCCACCTAGACTATCCCTGGACCCATATGTTATCTAGGCAGCCCCCCCCGATTCGCCATTGAATTGCCTTCCTCCCTCAGCAAATCCCCAGATCTCTCTACAAGGCCTCACACTCCTGCCATTTGCAGGTTACAGGGTCACGCCCCAGCTCCGGCCAGCGTCGTTCTGGCATCGCCAAACCAGGGGCACAGAATAAAGCAACTCTGCAGATATCAGTCCAGATTTGACCATCTGTGACGTCCTATATCTCGAACGAGGAAGAAGACCAGATGCTGCCAAACATCACAGAACACCAGAAAGCTTGATATAACATGATTAAAGACTATGGAATTTTAAAACACCTGTTCTGTTAAGATTAATCTCCCCCCGCTGGGATGTGTACCCCCACCCCAGCCCCAGAATAGAGCAACCCACTAAATCTGCTCGCACCCCCTCCAGGGCTTCACCTTCCACCTTGCGTGGCCCCTGCAGAGTGGAGTTTTTCCCTGTTCACTCCACCTTCCATCCATCAGGAAAAAAAAACGTCGATGCTCAGAGAGGAGAATATAGATACCAGAAACATACATTCAAACCAAAGAAATTTACGGTGAAAAAATTTTGAATACCAGGTTTCTATAAAAAAGAATTGGATAAGAGTCGGTTTATGGAAGCAAATGTAGCGAAAATAACAACATGGAAAGTGAAAATGCATATAGGAGATTCAGAAATTTGAAATATAGGAATTTAAGTATTAAAAAATACCAATCAGCTTAGTTCTAGGAGTTGAGGGTTTCGGGAATATTATTTAGAAATTTAGAAATTTATAGATTTAAGTTGGATATTTAATTAGGATATTATTTTAGTTGAAAGCGTAGATTGATTGTGAAGATAATGATATTGATTGGATGTTGATTAATTAGCTTAAAAGGGATGCAGAAAATGATAAACTATCATCGCCCTTTTTTCAATTACAGATGGACTATTGAAGTAGAACAGAAGGAGCACACTTGTGGTCTGCCAGTATCAGTCTGCACCAGACCGCCTGATCACTCGTAATTCCTTAGCAGCTACTTCTTGCTTCTCTAGATACCATTCCTCTAGGTACCCGTCCTCTCTATATCTGCCCTGTATCGTCCGTTCAGTCTGCTCCATACCATTGCATATCCACCATCGCCAACTGGTAGGGCGGGAAGGGGTCGGAAAATTTTGTGGCAGGTCGCAATGGGATCTCCTGGCCCACAAGATCTCTTGGCCCACAATATACCAATCTCTGAAACAAATACCGTAGTCTCTCCTGAATTCCTCCTGGTTGCCTTCCTGGGTGGGCTTGCCCTCCCATCTAACAAATGCGATCGAGCCCCCATTCTCACTGCCCAACCAGTCTCCATAAAAATTGGTGAATTGCTTGTGTTACGTCCTTTGCTGAATGATACAAGTCAAGTTGGATTTTAATTTTTTGCCAGTGAACCGTGAGTTCTTGTTGAATGTATTGCCTTATCATGTTTGTTGCCTCTTCCCTAGTTATGCGGACCCCCTCCATAGCATGTATATAACGTTTCCTCCAGAGGGTCCACACGCCTGCTCTCCTTCCTAACTTCTTTTTTTTTTTTTTTTTTTTTTTTTTTGAACAAGTGCTCCAGTCTATTCGTGGGGAGCAGCACGTGCTGGGAACCGGGCCCAACGCCACATATCGAATTATACAGATCATTGAGAGCATTTGAGGTCGTTTGAGTTCATTTGAGATACGAGAGTCATTACCCGGTTTCGGCTGAGAACAATCTGTGAACACAATGAGATTGAGAAACATGGGGAGGATCCTGAGTATCTAATGACCTATTAGCTAGGTTGTTGGGTCGGACGTCTGTAATTGAAAAAAAAACAAATCAGAAAACAATTATTGCTTCTATAGATACCATTCCTTAGAGGATCCTGTATATAATGACCTATCAGTCTGCACTGGTCCGACGTCCGACCGGACAGGGGTTGTCCGACCTAGCGCAAAAAAAAAAAAAAAAAAAAAAAAAAAAAAGTTTTTTTCAGAAACATCTTCCGGTTATATTTCCGCATATAGCCAGATTTGATAACTGTCCTAAAATGTAAAAAAAAAAAAAAAAAAAAAAAAAAAAAAAAAAAAAAAAAAAGGCAGAAGAGGCCATGGTGCAAGAAGAAGAGGAAGAAGAAGAAGGAGAAAAGNATGTAACGTAACAATACAAGCAACTTTTGCCTTGGAGTCATGTTCAAATTCGCAGTCAATCATGAGTTAAAAATCAAAAACCGAAAAAAATATATATATATTTTTTACGAAAAAAAAACCTTTTTTTCCCGGACGATGGGGGTACCGGACGTATGGGGGAGACGTCCGGGGGAGACGACCGGCCCCCGGACCATTGGTAACCTAGCCTATTAGGGAATTACTCATGCAATAACCTGCTCTCCTTCCTAATTTGAACATGTTGTTTTCAAAGGTATTGTCAGTGGCGGAGGACCATGCCTCGCATAATATGGCCCTCCAATCCCATGGCCAGTGAGATTCAGTGCCCAACTGGGTCCAGATTTTATCCCACCATCGCCATGTAAGAACTGCCCCTGGGCACTGCATGAATATATGCTCTATGGTTTCAGGGTTTCTGACGGCGGGAAAGCCAGTGTGGCATGACTTGCACCACGGTAATGCCTGCCCCTTCTGCTCCAGGTATGTGCGATCTATCAACCAGTCATTGGTGGGCAGACAACTGTGTTTTGTCTGCCATTGAAGAGAGGCCATCTTCGCACGCCTAGGCCTTGTGGTGGTGAACCATAGGATCGCGCGGATCGCCTCAGTCCCTACATTTAAGTGTGACCTCTATCGGGCCTTCACTATATCTTTTATGTTCACCTTTGGCCGAAGCAGACGATATGTGTGGCCTTC